GTTAAATTAACTCGACTTTTAACAGCACGGGAGTGTAGTGGCACTTTATATCACTGCCTGTAGCGCGGCCGTGCCAGGCAGGGCCAGCCGAGGACGCGTGTGAGGTAGAAACGAGCAGTCCCTGTCGCCACGGGTGTTAACGGGCCCTCTGTCCGACTTCGCGCGGTTCTCGAGTGTCGTTTATTGTGCCCAAAGGGGTTTTTTTGTTCTCCTCTTGCTCTACAAAAGGCCTTTAGTCTGAAGATGGTGTTGCCGGGGAAGGAAGATAGGCTGTGCTCTGCTGCCTGCTCATGTACTCTCTGGCAAGTTCCTACTACAGCTATAAATGAAATAACTGCAGTTGCCAGATTTTTATTTATTTATTTCAAAAACCACAGGTCCCAGAGTCGTAGTAATTATGAACAGTAAAAAAAAGCCTCTACCAAAGGGGAAAAGTAATCTGCCCACAAGCACAGCTTCTTATCTGCTTTTCTTGTAGGGGCAGAAACAAGTCTCCTCCCTGAGGGAGACATTCCAGTCTTGAAAAGTGATTGCTTTGAGGGCAGTGACAGAGGTGAGCCATGCCCTCTATGTAAAATTTAATCTCGCATAACCTTCGGAGATAAAGAGGAAGCGATATGCTTAAAATGGTGCATGTACTATAGTGTTTTTAGCAACAGACAGCCTCTTTTTTCTTCTGCAGAACTGTAGGCTCCAGTGAAGCATTACATTATATATAGCAAAAAGTTGTAGTTTACAATTAATAAAAGCTCTGCCCAGGTCTGTGCTGTAAGATCAAGGTTGTGATAAATGTGTTTGTGGGAAAATATACAAAGAAAGAACAGTCTTGCTTTTAAAATACGACAGGATGTTTATAGACTGGCATCTTAATTAAGACTAAATCACGACTGTGCTGCAGATCTGTTGAAAGAAGGGCAGGCACAAAGTTCTCAGTGGTAGGGTTTTTAACTTCTCCCCATGGGTGCCCTTGAGCTACTGGAGAGATGGCAGCTCCCCTTCATTTTGCAGCTGTCAACTGATGTCCTCCAGATGGCCAGCTCTGCATTCAACTCCACCACGTTTCACTGGCTCATCCAAAGCATAAGGAAAGTGAAAGCCTCAGCTAGCCTGTGCTTCTTGGCCTGCACACAGGGAGGTTCCCCACCCACACCCAGAATCAACCAGTTTGGTCTCCATCACCAACGTATTGGGCCCAGACTGGTCTCTGCCTTCTCCTATTTTCTGGATGCTAGAGGACTTCCTTCACCAGATGACAATCCTGCTGGCCTCTAGACAGTTCTTAGTCTAAACCACTTGCCTTTTTTTGCTTTCTCATAAGACATGAAAGGCCAGTACAGCAGGGGACCTGAGTTTCCAAAAGTCATCGTACTCTTCATCAAGCTTCTATTTAAAGAATTGGTTGTGTGGTTAAACACAAGCTTGAAAGTTCAGAGAATTTGCTTCAATTTGTGCTCTGCCAAGATTCTCTTCGGAAAGCCTCCGTGCTTTTCTGTGCCTCAGTTTCTTGACTATGTTACAGGAGAAGCTTTTCTTACATCCCGGGGGGTATTATGAAATAATACAGAAATAATAGTTCATGATTTGTTTAATTAGTATGATACTGCTATATAAATACCATACATATATTAACTAAGAAATAATAGGGCCCTTGACATAGTGTGTAAAGGAAAATGGGAGAACAATAAAATATTTTTTAAAAATCTGCAGTCGGTTTCAAGTAATGATGATTTAGTGGTATTTTAAAAGCACATGGTGGGTACTTGGGAGGGCTAGATTTGATATACATGGGAGGATTTTGCCAAATGTGAGTTCTCACAGGATTGCAATAGTAAATGTCAAAAAAAAAAGAATTTCTGGAATGCCTTGAAGACATGGGGTCTTAAGACATGAGCTGGTTTTGGGGTTTTTTTACATACCAGAATATTTCTGGATCATTCAGGGACTTTGAAATACTTTTTATATATGTGGGCTGAAAGTGAATCAGTCTCACTCCTTTCATTCATTCTCTTCAAGGCACGCTTGTTCACAGAATCATGTAGATTGGAAGGGACCTCCAAAGCTCATCATCTCTAACCCCTGCTCAAAGTAGGGGCAGTTAAAGCCGGTTCCTCAAGGCCTCGTTGACTCCAGTTTTGAATACCTTCAACACAAGAGATTTTGCAGCCACTGTGGTCCCCTGTTTTCAGTGTTTGGCTATGCTCATGGTAATCTTTTTTTTCTTCTAATTACTCAGAAATTCCCATGCTTCAATTTGTGTCCCTTGCCCCTCATCCTTGCCTCTCATTCTTTCCCTGTGCATCTGTTTTCTCTACGTCTTCCCTGCCTAATAGGCAGCTGTAGACAGCCATAAGCTCCCTCCTTAGCTTTCTCTTAAGGCTGAACAGACCCAGTTCTTTCAGGTTCTTTTCATACGTCATGAGCTCCAGTCCCCTGACCAGCCTGGTGGTCCTCCACGGGGCTCAATCCAGCGTATCAATGCATTTCTTGTACTGGGGCACTCAAAACTGGACATTTGTAAGATGTGGTCTCACAAGTGCCAAACAGAGGGGAAGAACTGCTTCCCTTAATTTACTGGCTACACTCTTGCTAATAACAGCCTCGTGTGTCGTTAACTGTCTTTGCCGCAAGGGCACTCTGCTGATTCATGTCGCACTTGCTGTACACCAGGACATCTGAGTCTTTTGCCGCTAGGCTCCTTTGTTGACCCCTAACCT